GCCCCTTGGAGGGTTTGTTTCGAGACTCTTCATGGTTGGGGACTCTGTGGTGGTGTACTACCAACCAGGATCTCGGCTCTTGGGGTATGTAGAGGCTGGGAATCATCTCCATCTCGAACTCGTCTTGCTAAGTTTGTACTCCTAAGACTTTAGTGGCTGCTGTACCTCGTGCCAGTCAAACCGCCATAGCGTCGTCAAATCTTCATGGAATTTTATGATTCAACTTGTTGCTGATAGGCGATAGCAATGCACTCCAGATCCAATTTACAGATCACCATTTGAGGCATAGATCACTTCGGCATCATTATTTGAAGCTGTCTAACGGAATTCTAACTGTGCACAATTTCTCTCATTTTAGGCATATCTGCATTTTAGGCACAATTTCTCTCGTAGCGAAGGTCGGCACTCGCAATTGTGCCCCACAAGCTCTCTCCTTTCTCCTTTGCCGCTGCTGTTTTGATGATCTTAGCCTTCTCCTCCTCATTTCCACCATATTTAGCTGCTGCACCACTCTTCTTGGGTTCACACGCCTTGCTGGTCCCTCCAAGATTGCACTCCATCGAGTCACTCTTGGTGTCACTTTAGTTTCCGTGATCACCACCACCAACCACTTCAGTCTTGGTGCTGACGCTGGCTGCCATTTGCCTGCCCCTTAGGCATGGGTACCACTGGGATTTGCCACATCTAGGCATGGTCGAAATGGCTCCAAGGTGCTCTGATGCCACTTGTTATAATCACAATAGGCTCAGATGTGCCTAAAAAGAGAGATAGAGAGCACATTCGGATTTCTGTCAGACGGCTTCAAATAATGATAACAATCTGATAGCTCAATCAAATGGTGATCTATAAGTTGTATCTAGAGCGCATTGCTTTTTCCTATCAGAAGCAAATTGAATCATGAAATTCCATAAAGATTTGACGTCGCTATGGCGGTTTTACTGGCTAGAGGTATAGCAGCCACTATAGTCTTAGAAGTACTAACATAGCAAGAAGAATCGAGATTGAGATGGTTCCCAACCTCTACATTCCCCCTTGAGCCGAGGTCCAAGTTGGTGGTACACTACCACAGAGTCTCCAACCACGAAGGGACTCGAAACAAACCCAACAAGGGGCTACACCAAGTGAAATGTTACACTACACGAAGTAGCATTACCATTTTCACTATTTATATATTTATCCGCGTCCCTTGGGCTTGAAATCTTAAGCTCTTGGTCTGGGTTCTGCAAGATAAATTCTTCTTGTATTGATGAGGGCTTGCTGCACTCACCTGCGACGCAATGGATTCTTCACACTCGACAAAATAGAAAAAAAAATATGCGACGCACAAACGACGACTTGACATGCGAGTTGTAAAAACTCGCTAATGTCTTGATTGACACAAACCACATTGTGATACACCATTCAAGCACACACACAAGCACTAGATAGCAATGACATAGACTCACGAGTCATTCCATGCCATGCATGCACACACACGAACAAGGACGACAAGCCGAGTGCAAGCCATAGGGTTGCACCAGCAGGCACTCCACACACTCACTCCCTTCCTTCCCCTAGCACTACACACACTCACTCCCCTTCTTCCCCTTGCACTCCACACACTCACACCCCTCCTTCCCTTGCCACTCTAGACACTCACTCCCCTTCTTCCCCCGTTACTCCTTCCGGCCATGCCACCTCGCCTCCGCTGAGCGCCAAGCAGCTGTACGCACAATTGGGGGCGTACCTTCAGCCAAGAGAGGACTGTGGTGCACATCGCTGCTTGAAACGGAAATATACCAATGGTGAGACATACGTTTTTGAACAAACTTTTATGTGTCCCTGATCCTGCTTTTGCCCTCTTTTCTTTCCCCCACCCCGCCCCCCAGCCTTTCTCAATCCTCACACATTTATCCTCCCTCACACGTCCCTGCAGCTGCAGGCGCTGCTGCGCATGGGCATACCATCTGGGGTGCGCAGCACGCTCAACGCCACCACGTCAATGCACCTGGTGGCATGTGGCGGGCACACGCAGGCCATGCAGGTGCTGCTGCACCATGCCTCGATACGAGAGGGACCCGAGCTGGCTCAGCACAAGGCTGACATCCGCTCTCACACTAGTGGGGGGGCTGTGAGTGGCTGGGGGCTGTGAGTGGCTGGGGACTACGAGTGGCTGGGGGTTGTGATTGCCTGGGTTCGGTGAGTGGGGTTTTTGAGTGGCTGGGGACTGTGAGTGGCCAGGGACTGCGAGTAACTGGGGACTAGAATTTTTCAAGCAAATTTGGTAGGTATGGTTTGGCGTCCTTCGTCTTTGGCTGGGTCCTAAGAGCTGGTTCTGCTCAGCTCAGCTGGAAGGGTGTCTGTAAAGTGGGTCTGGAGGAGGGAGTCCCACCAGTAGCATGCCATCCTCTCCCCTTGCTTGCACATCCTTCTTCTTACTCGCGCACTCGCTCTCCGACTCATATGCCCCACTCGCTCCCCTCTCCTGGCGTGTTTCTCTCCCAGGGACTCCTTTGCACCATGCCACCAGCCGGCAGCAGTAGGGGCCAGTGAGGTGGCTGGCGCAGCGCGGGGTGTCACCTCAGGAGGTGTAGAGGCCAGAGGCTGACAGAGGGGGGTTGGTGCCAGACCATCTCATGGAGCGAGCCAGGGAGGTAGTGAGGGAGGAAGTACTGGTACCAGATTGGATGGCTGAATTTCTTCACTAGAATGGGAACAGTCATGAGGATGCATGACTGGCCGAGTGCATATTTGCACACTAGCTTTGGACAGGACCAAACCTCTGTTTCCAGCTGAATATTTGTAGAAATTCACTGAAATTTCCCTGAGAAATTCCTTGGCATACCCATACCAGCCCACCTTGCACCCGTGTTTGTGGGGAGAAGGTGTGACCAATCAGTCCATATCTCTTTCCCAACACTAGCCCCCATAATCATGCAATATGTTGTAGTAATATTCATCCAAATTTCCCCACTCGCACTCCAGTTTAGTCACCTTACATGTACGAGCAATAGCATCTCCTTGTTCCAATTGCTCAGATACCCTAATGCAAGTCAATCAAGGTTCCGGCGCAGCACAGCACATTAGTCCTCATCTATAATCAGCCCACACATCAGCTCCAGGATACCACAGGGTCGGAGACGGCCCTCCCCGTCCAGCAGGTGCCGGCAGCCGCTGACGCCCAGGTACTGCAACACCTTGAGCTGGGGCAGATCCCCTGGGAGCGCCAGCAGCTCCTCACAGCCGTCCAAGCAGAGGCTCCTCAGCCAGATGATCCGTGCAAATGCTGGAGGCAGCGAGCGGATGGCGGTGTGAGACACGTCCAGCTCATACAGGCAGGCGAGGCGGGTGAGAGAGGGAGGAAGCTGCTGCAGGGCATTGCAGCAGGGCAGCAGTAGCTTGCGCAAGTGAGTCAAGGTGCCGATGCCCGGAGGGAGCGACAACAGCTGCAGTGCGTGCACCTCCAATGATGTTAGCCTGCGCAGCTCAACGATGCTTCCTGGAAGCTCCTCCAGCGCTGAAGCCCAGCTTATCGTCAGCTGCCGCAGCTGCGGCAACGCTGACCCGATGTCGGTGGGGAGCCGCGTGACTCCAGAGGCCACTATCTCCAAGCTGCACAGCTGAGGAAGGTAGGTCAAGGGGATCGGGCGCTCTGTTTTGTCGTCTTCCAAGTGCAGACTCAACTGCTTCAGATTCGACAAACCCCTCCCTCCTGCCAGCCCGCGCGGCACCCCAACGTGGATCAGCTTGAGCGCTTGGAGCTGCGAGAGCAAGGAGATGTCGGGCAAAGAGGCCTCCTGCCTGTAGACCACGTTTAGTTAGCTCTGCCATGATGTCGCGATCCCCCTCTCCCATGTGGGAGCTCGTGACGCGAACATTCAACTCCGAGGGCAAGCTAACGTGGACAGGGTGCAAGTAATGCCTTCATAGTGTGATGCCGAATGCCACCCGTATTCAAGAGCACATCCTCGGCATGCCAATGTCGAAGTTGAAGAACATTGCGGCGTGCACGTCAAACTTCGCGCTAAATCTCTGCACTAAGGGAGATATGGAGTGTTCGTCGACGAGCTCGGCAACCCTGTCGGCATCCCAAGGAGCGCATGGGTGGTTTTGCGGCCAGCAAAACATCCGCGGCATGACAGAGCCCGCCGCACGGGAGCGCCTCAACCGCTTCTGGGCGACGGCCGTGGCCGAAAACGACTGGGCATTTCGATGCTCTTAGTGAGTTTTCTCAGTCTCTCGCCCCCTTCCCACGTCCCACCCTTTATTGCTTTCGCCGACTCGGTTATGGACGTCCAGCATAGTCCATTCGTGCATCATGCCCGCCTCACGCTCCATACTCATATCTCCTCCACTCCCGCCCCTCAGGTCCAAGGCTTTGCGGGCCTTCGTTGAGGCCTCGGTAGCGTTTGGGAGGTTGTACAAGCTCCCATCTGCCTACAAGGTGTCGGGCCCTCTGTTCACGCAGCTCAAAACGGAGTGCTAGGAGCTGGTGTCCCCCCTCAAGCAAACGTGGACCACCGTCGGCTGCAGCCTTTCAGTCGACGGATGGTCGTGCTTGAAGAGTCGCGGCATCGTCTGCGTCATTGCGCAGAATGGTGCCAACCCTATGCTTGTGGAGGTGGTGGACCCCAAGATAGACAAGAAAACTGGCGACTACCTGGCAGAGTTGATCCGCCGGGGAATTTGTAAGCCGGCGACACTAAGGTGGTACAAGTTGTGATGGACAATGCTGCTAACAACAAGAAAGCGGCCGTGCTCTTGAAGGATGGGTTTCCCACGGTTTTTTTTTCTAATTGCACGGCTCACTACTTGGACTTGATGTTGCATGACCTAGCTCGACTTTCCATCATTGCGCAGGTGCTGGTGGAGGCGCATCGCATCGTCGTGATGGTTAAGAATAGCACGAGCAGCTTGAATCTCTTTTGCGAGATCTTCTTGGCACTTGAGCTCGTGCGCCCCGGAACCACCCGCTTCGGAACTCAGATGATCATGATCACCAGGTTCCTGAAGGTTAAGGAGCCGCTATGGCGGATGGTGATTAGCGAGGAGTGGCGAGATGTCCCCGTCGCCAATTTCGATGAGGGGCGAGTGATTCAGAATCTGCTTTTGGATGACACCTTTTGGGAGTCAGCTAACATGATCTTGCAGCTCATATCGCCAGTGTACGAGGTGCTTCGTGCCGTGGACAAGCGTGCCTTGCTCATGAGGAAGCTCTATGGCCTGATGCTGGATGCTACAATTAAGACTAATGATTCGGCAAGCACGGCAGGTAAGGACATCACCACCACGCATTCCCGCCCCCTTTGAAGCCTCATAATATGCCTCCCCATCACTTGCTTTACCTCCGCCCTGCTGTCTCCCACGTTGCATGTGCCCTCCTCACCTGCCTTCCCTTCTCTCTCCTGTCATCATTTCCCGCAGCGTCGTTCTTCATGAGGAAGACGGAGCTGCTGGCGTCTAAGGACCAAGCTGCCTTCCTCACCGACGTGAATAGCATTATTGCCCGGGGGTGGGATGGGCAGCTCCACGACCCCCTCCAGGCTTTGGGTGGTTGTTAAGCCCCCTCAACCAGTTTGTGGACGACATGTGGGCGGACACGGAGATCCGCAAAGAAGCCGATGTCGTGAACCCCGACGTCGCTGTGCGCATCATGCTGGACGCCGAGCTGGCGTCCTTCCACAAAGGGGAGGGGAAGCTCGGAGGGAAGGATGCACGCTGGGCGGCAACCACCCTGGTGCAGAGCAGCTCGATGTCGGAGGCGGAGTGGTGGCTGCTGTACGGCGGGGAGGTGCGGACTTTGCAGGAGCTTGCTGTGAGGATTCTCTCACAGACGGTCACGTCCTCCGAGGTCGAGCGATTTTGGTCGGCCATGGCCCGAGCTCAACGGCGTGACCGTAACTCCCTGAGCTCCAAGACCATGATCGACGTGACCTGGGTTGCCTTCAGTAGGCACACCATGGCCGCGTTTGACCAACAACAGGAGGTTCGCTCGAAGCTGTATGCCGACCTTGCCTTGGGCTGCAGCGTGCCACAAGCCCTCCTGGAGGAACCTGAGGAGGAGGAAGTGGAGGGAGGGGAAGATGCAGCCGTCTATATCATAGACTGGAGCACCTTTGGACTGTGCGGCAGGCAGAAGAAGAAGAGGAGCGGCAGGTGCTAGGCGGGCAAGAAGGCAGAGAAGCGCACTAGACCCAAAAAGGGTCAGGGGAATCGTGCTGCTGCGGAGGAGGAGGAGGAGGAGGAGGAGGAGGAGGAGGAGGAGGAGGAGGAGGAGGAGGAGGAGGAGGAGGAGGAGGAGGAGGAGGAGGAGGAGGAGGAGGAGGGGGAGGAGGAGGAGGAGGAGGAGGAGGAGGAGGAGTAAGGTGGAGGAGGAGGAGGAGGAGGAGTAAGGCAGAGGAGCAGGAGTAAGGGGAAGGCAGCAATGTCCTGTGGGAGGGTACGATTCTTCAAGTCTGAGATGCTTATAGCCCGGAAAGCTGTGAGGTGGGAGAAACCTGCTGGCAGCTGGCAGATCTTGCTGCATTTCATGTGGAGCAGGGCCTCGAGAGATGTGAGATGGCAGAAGGAGGGAGGGAGGTTAGGGAGAGGCAAGTAGAGCAGCATTAGCACTTTGAGGTCCGGCAGCTCACCGAAATTGTCAGGTAGGGTAAGGCCACACCCAGAGAGGATTTGGGTTTCCAAACAGGTCAGAGAAGTGAAGGATTCGGGTAGGTGGGCGAGAGAGTAGCAGTGGCGAACGGTCAACTTGCCAAGGCACAGCAGCAGGTCTCCAAGGTCATCAGGAAGGTTGTCCATGTTGCCGCAATTGGTGATCAGCAGCTGCTCTAGCCCCGCGAACGCTAAACCTGATGGGAAGATAGCATCAAAATTAAGGCGGGATATGAGAAGCCAAGCGACTTTAGGCCACGCGGCAGCGCCATGCGTGGTGCATCTGAGGGCTGGTGATGGCTCTGACCGTTTTGATGGTTCTGATACGACGCGAAGGTGGCGAGATGGGCAAGGAGTACCTAGATGCAGTCATTGCTTGCTATTCTACTCCCTCCTCTGCCTCTGCTGGCCCTCTCCTCCTACCCCTGCTCTTCCCCGATCTCGCGTCCTTCCCCACTGTAGCTGACCTCGCCACTCACCTGGCACTCTTGAGACTAACTACCGCATTGCTAGCACTGAGGCTAAGCTCAATGTACTCCCTCCCCCCCTCAGTGCTACCCTTTATTTCCGTACCACACACCTCCTCGACCACCTAGCCACTGCCTGCAACGCTTTCCTTAGTCTCTACCCCGCTGACTTCACCCTTACCGACTTTGTCACCACCCTGTCCGCGATAGAGACCTGCCAGTGCACAATCGCTCAGTCTAGCCGTACTGTGGTGGTCCCTATCTTGGAGGACAGTGCTCCCTCCTAGTGCACTTACTCTGACGTTTCTGGTGTTGTTGTTGAGACAGCCCGTGCTGCTAAGACCGCTTCGGCGGCCTCAGCGCAGACTCGTCAGGGTAAGGGCCGCCGCCCCAAAGGGGGGTGCGGTGGAGGGAGGGATGGCGGGGGTGGCAGGGGTGGCGGAGGTGGCGGAGGTGGTGGAGGTACTGTAAGTGCAAGTGGTGCAGACAAGGGGGCCGGGGCTGATGCCTCGGCGCAACAACAGAATTAACCGCAGCAGCAGCAGCAACCCAAGCAGCAGCAGCAGCAGTCGTAGCAGCAGCAGTCGTAGCAGCAGCAGCGGCAGCCGTGGGGACCACTGCAGCCGTGGTGGCCCAACGGCTTCGGTGGTGGTGGCCGCGATGGCAACTTGACATTGGTTGGCGGCTCCAGTTTTGTCAGTTGCTAGTACCAGCTCCAGTCTGGTACCTTCCATGGCATCGTGTGTGGTCAAACAGGTCACACCGCTGCCCACTGCTATCGCCACCCGTTGCTACCGCCGCCTCGACAACCTCTTCCGTCTCCGCTTCGGCCCCGTGCCGGACCTCCCCGACTGGCCCAGCCTAGTACGTCGTCGTGTGCCGGTCTTCTAGATGGACATGAATCAGATTATCTCTGCTTTGTATTCCATTAATGCTGATGACTCTAGTGTGACTGGGCCTTCTTACCCTGTGTTAAAGTGAGAGTACGACCCCATTATACTTCTTTCTCATTTCCATCTTTCTCCTCAATCTCATTCTTTTCTTTATCCTGGTCCTTTTAATCTTTATCTCATCTCATTTGGTTTCCTATTCCTCATTTTCCATTATCCTTTGGTTTCTCCTATTATGATTATTATATCACCGACCAGGCTCGGGATGTACCGGCGCGTTATATCTAGCGTAATCCTGTTGTAATCCCTTAAAGCCAATAGCTTCGCGTGGCTGTACGTAGGGTAATTCTATTTTTAGAAGGGTCTATTCCCTTTGGATAAGATAAACCTAGTTACTTGATGTACCTTGGAAGTATAAAGCACCTTGTATCACTCGATAGTGCAACATTTCCTCGACACATTCGATCCTGTAACAGTTGCCTAGCGTAGGTGTGCCCGCTGTGTGTAGTATAGCCTCCCCTGCTGCGTTAGGCATAGGACCTCTACACTTGCCCCTTCGCCAGCTGACGCTACGCTCGTCCTTCACGCTGAACTCTGGTGCGTCCGCCTGCTTCTTTTGCAACCACACCACTCTCACGACGCTTGCCGCCCCCGTAATCGTCGCTCTTGCTGACCTTTCCTCACGCCCGGTAGTTGCACGTAGTTTCACTACCCTTCCCTGTCTGGTGGTTCCCTCGGGCTCCCTTACAGGCCTGCACATCCCCTCGTTCTACAGAAACCTAGTTGGTGTCGGCTGTCTTTAGGACCTCGGCATCACCACTACCTTTTCTGGGCACGAGCGGTACACTGTCTATACCGAGGCCGCCACTGGTTCCCCCCCTGCCACGTTCCCCCGGGACCCAGTGTCCGGCCTGTTCACGCTGGACACTGTGTCCCCCCCGGTGGGGGCGTCCCCCCAGGTGGCTACGTCTACTCAGGTCACTGCGGCTTGCTCATGTTGGTCGCTCACTCATCAGTCGCCGCTGTGGCACCACCATCTAGGTCACCCCACCCTCCTGCGTCTCTGTCACATGTCCCAGTATGGTCTTGTCTTAGGTCTCCCTGCGTAGCTTCCTGCCCTCCCTCCCTCGCCTGCTCCTCTGTGCACACCTTGCGTCGACGGCTGGCTGCGCCGTGATCCTCACTCCTCCTCGATTCCCTCCACCAGTGCGCCACTCCAGACCCTGCACCTGGACGTATGGGGCCCAGCCCCCATCCTTGGGCCACGTCGCGAGCGCTACTTTCTGGTTCTCGTCAACGTCTACACGCGCTACACAACGGTGTTTCCTCTGGAGTGGAAGGCCGACGTGCCTGACGTTTTTATCCCGTGGCATGTTGATGCGCGTGTACATGGCGCCCAGCTTGTGCTTCGTCTCCACTCCAACCGTGGCAGTGGATTCCCATCTAGTCGGCTTCGCGAGTTCTGTCGTACTGAGGGCATCACCCAGTCGTACACCCTGACGGAATCCTCGCAGCTGAATGGGGTCGCTGAGCAACGCACTAGTTTGGACATGCAGGTGGCTCGTACCTCCATGATTCATACCAGTGCACCCCATTTTGTGCGGCCGTTTGCTGCTCGCTACGCTGCTCACCAGCTTCACTTGAGGCCATACTCCCAGCGGCCACAGGTTTCGCCGACCCTCCTCTGGACCGGTTCCCCTGGTGACGTGTCTACGTTTTACGTCTGGGGTTGCCTCGCTCACGTCCGCGACTCTCATGCGGACAAGCTCATTGCTTGCACCGTCTCTTGTGTCTTTCTTGGCGTCCCCCTTGACGCATTTGACTGGTGCTTCTACCACCCGCCGTCTCACCATTTCTTTCACTCGCGTGACATCACCTTCAACGAGTTTGTGCCCTTCTATGCCTGATTTCCCCACCGTGGTCTCCTAGTTACCCCATCCCTGTTCCTTCTACCCACTCCCCTGGTAGCACCTGCTCCTCGTCTTGCCCCGTCTGGTGTGTCTCACGCCACTCCCCTTCCCTTGGTTGGCCCGGTGGAGGAGTCTGCTGATCAGGGTCCGTCGCCTGCTTCCGCAGCGCGTGCACCTTCGACCCTGGTGCCCCCTCTGCTGTCGCTGCAGCACCAGTCATCGCAGCAGCCGCAGCAGCAGCTTCCGTCGCCGCAGCAGCAGCAGCCGCCGTCGCCGCCGCAACAGTCGCTGCAGCACCTGGAGTCCGTGCGCTTTGGGGGTGCTGCTGTTAGGGGTGAGGGTGCTGAGGTGGGTCCTCGTTCTTGAGGTGTTGGTGCTGGGGGTGCTTGTCCTGGCGGTGCTAGTTCTGGGGGTGCTAGTCCTGGGGTGCTGTCGTGGCGAGTCCTGGGGTGCTGTCGTGGCGAGTCCTGGAGGTTGCAGTAGTGCAACCGGAGGCTCTGGTATGGGCACGGAGCAGCAGCTGCAGCAGTCGCCGCCGGTGTCCGCCCTTCGCCGTCTCGGTCTTCCCTCCCCCGACCACCCACCCGCGCTTCCCCCGGCGCTGCCTCCTCCTTTTGTCTACGGCCTTGCATTTCCTTCGCCGAACTCGTCCCGGGCTCGTTTCCCCACTCGTTCTTCAACTGTGACTCCGTCTGTGTCTCTTGACCGGATACCCCCACCCGTTGGTGGTCTCACAGTGTCCCTTGTGCTCTTCCTCTCTCTCTTGTTCTGTGTACCCACCCTATGTTGCTCTGGTCTCACGTGTCTCGTGCTCCTCCCGCTCCTCTTTTCCTGTCGCCTCCTCAGTCATCCCTCCCTGTTTCATCGCCTCCTCTTTCTGACTTCCTCCGTGCTGCCATTCTCTTAACTTTTGTCGCTACCATCACTGAATTTGCCTCTACCCACCACCTTGACTATGCCAATGCTCTAGTCTCTGATCCTGCCCGTTCTTCGTCCATCATGGGTGCACCTGCCCTTGGCTGTGACGTCCTAGAGGACATGTAGTACAAGCTAGCTTTCCTGTCGGAGGCCGCTCCTCATCTCTGCTCCATGCTGCTAGTCCCTGAGGGTGATCCAGATGCTCTTGACATTCCGACCCCTCGCACGTATGCTGAGGCGTCTTCGGGACCCTGGGCCTCTCGTTGGATAGCTGCCATGGACGTAGAGATGGCATCTTGGAGATCCACCATCACCTACGTCGATGCAGTTCCCCCACTTGGGGCGAACGTAGTCGATGGACGGTGGCCCTTCAATGTTAAGCGCCTTCCTGAAGAGCCACCGGTGTTCAAGGCGCGCTACGTTGCTAGAGGCGTCAGTCAACGTGAGGGCGTTGACTTCTTTCAAACCTTCGCTCCGACCCCGAAGATGACCACTCTTGGGGCATTGCTTCACATAGCAATACAACGCGACTATGAGTTGCACTCACGGGACTTCTCCACAGCGTTTCTCCAGGGCAATCTGCACTCTTCGTTT